TTCCCTGACCTTGTTCTGTGCTATTCTATTTATTAAAGTTAAATCTGGCTATCCTAAGGTCCGGTAATACATTTTAAGATTTCTCATTATATATTACTTATTTAACTTGCGTTCTGCATGCTGGGTATTAGACTATCCGGACAATATCCCTCCCTCCTTGATTCAGGAGTTAACAAAAATAATGATCATAGCCTTGTTGTTGCTCACTTGCTGGTTTATATACTTTCTTTTACTTTTTGATCGGTGTTTCTGACATTCTTTGGTAATTGGAACTTTAGACAGATATGTCCTTGGTATGTTAACATTTCCTTTAAGTACTTTTGTAATAGGTAAATAAAGTCTACATTAGTACTTATGTTTCCATAGAGGCAACATATTAATGCACAGATATGCCCTATCTAACCCTAACTACCAGATTCCTAATGTTATGTCTGTTGGAGGTATACAGTCTCTTCTTAATAATTTTGGCTCTTGTTTGTTTGCCTTAATGCATTAATGGACTGCTAGGGCTAAACAGACATTAGAACATACCGTAGGTAGGAGATTAACTTCAATGCATTGCACTTTGCTAATGCCACTCAGGGTAGCTGACCAGTCCATGTGGATGTGACCTGTCGTGAAGGCATAACATTCATCTGTGTAATGCTTCACTGACAGTCTTGTGCATATAATACTTGTGCTAGTATAGAAGAGGTAAGCGTTGGTTTTCTCATAGGTCTTCTATCTGCAGAACATAAAAATTTGCCTTCTGCCTCCAGGTGTGTCTGAGTGTGTCTGTGCACAGTGTCGTAGTGATATTTACTTACTCCAAAATGGCAGTCCGATAAACAAGCTGTTACCTAAAATATTAAAGATTATATCCTTAAATATTCTGTTTTTCCAAAAATCCATCCAGTGTTTAAAATATTTGTACAGGAAATGAGAAAACCACTTCTAAAGCAAGAAATGTCAATACCTTTTATTTTAGAACTGTAAAGAATGCACACCATTCCATACTACCCAACATTGGCGTCCATTAAAGCAGAAAGCTGGTTGATGGGTAAAGGTGGGAATGGGCCAGTAACATGAACTGGGTCATTGGTTCTGTCCAAAGAAGGTGGATCTGCCTGAAGAATATGCATGGCAGCCTTGCGTGAATGCACACCAGCCTAACGGTCAATCATGCCAGCTGTCCCCATGAAGAGCAGACCATGCTAAGAACGTTATTACGTCCCTCTCTCTGGATAGGCCTCAAGTCTAGTAATACCCTTAGGCTATGCTTTCTGGGGACAGTTCCCTGGATGAGACACCAGGGAACAAAACTGCGACAGCAAGAACCCGGATATAGCCTAAAGGGGAGGGAAGCCTGTAATCATAACTATATTTTTGTCTGAAGAAGGATCTATGTAAAAAAAAAAAGAGATATATATATATATATATATATATATATCACACACACACACACACAACGGCTTTGAAACACAACTCAGGACAATATACAAAGCCAGCGAACCAGTGGCGTACACACAATCCATGGGGCCCCGGTGCGAAACTGCTCCGTGGGGCCCCCCCACCTCTCGCCTCTCTCCCCTTTCTCTCCCCCGATCCGTGGGCCCTGCCCGACACATACATAGACACAAACACATACACACAGACAGACACACAGACACATATACACACACACACATACATATATACATACAGAGACACACACATACAGAGACACACCGATACATACAGAGATACAGACACAAAATGTTTCCTGTTTCCTACCTTTTGTGATGGGAGTCAGAGTTCCCAGAGTTCCCACTCTGACTCCTTCCTGCTTCCTCCCGCGCGGGCTCTGATAGCTGGGAGGAGTGACCAGGGAGTCACTTCCTCCCAGCAGTGATCTCATCACAGGGGGCCCGGTCGCGCTGTTAAAGCGCCCAGCGCTGACCGGGCTCCCTGACAATCCATATCCATCGGGTGGCCCTGACAGCATGGGCCACCCGATGGACCCCTTAACGTGCGGCCCCGGCGGTTTGCCATGCGGGCCGGGGCCGCAAAATGTGGCAGCTTATACCCGGTCTCGGGGCTCTGCAGGGCGGCCGGGCTCCCTGGAGTGACGGCCCCGGTTGCAGCTGCGACCCCTGCGACTGCGGTATGTACGCTGCTGCAGCGAACCACTCATGGACAGCTATTTCGTTGTTAATGCAACTCATCAGCATGAGGTTGGTTACTGGGTGGGCACATGCAAATTAGTTCAACAAAGAATCACATAACTTTCTTGATTTGTGCTTCGCAAGTAACGCCAAGCCTCAATAGCAAGCCAGTAACCAACCTCATGCTAATAAGTTGCATGTTGTATACAGTAAACACAAACTCCAAGGAATCCATGTTTAAAATGGAATGAGGCAAAAATTTGATTCTTTCTTGAACTAGTTTGCATATGCCCACCCAGAATCCTTTGCAGTAGTAACATCACTGCAAATTTGTGCTTTCTGTGGGAAAAGTAAGTTCTATTTCTTGTCTGCTGTGTGCATATCTTTGTTTAACATTGTAATGACTATATATAGTTTTTTTGTTTTCCAATTTTCCAACAGATAAACTGTTCGTGAATTAACTCATTCACTTATCAATTATCAACATCTGTTAATTTGCACAGGCTCAGAAAAGCCAAGATCAGTTGTTCAAAATTTTCCACTCCAATGTTCCGAAGAAGAAGGATATGGGATTGGTAAAGCAATAATAACTGGTCTCACATCAAGACTGAATAGTCATTTGGAGGTATTAGCACATTACACACACGATGACTGAGAAGATTCACCCCCTTTTCAGCCCCAGGTCTTCTGAGAACTCTGCAGGCTATACTACCTTACATCATTTTTGTAATTAGGTTTGGCCTCCCCTTGTTGGTGAAGTTAACTCTTTTTAGTGCAGGAGGGGTGTGAATCTTTAGAAACACGTTTCAGGTTTTTCTGGATACTAAATAACTGCCTTCTATCCATTGTTGTGTGTGTGTGTGTGTGTGTCTCTCCATTTCCGCTCAGCTTGCCTTGAGTGTGGTTTGTAAAGTGATGTGGCTTGGATCCAAAAATGCCACGCCTCTAATTCCTGCCACAATTACTCACAATCACTCCACGCATTAGTCATGGCAGTGAGCATTAACACATCTGTAGCTGATTTCCAGAGCCTAAAAATACAATTCTGCTTGTTCACACTTTGTAAGAGTAAGAAGATAAATAAATCTGCCTCCTCTAATTCAGACATAAGTAGCCTAGCAGTTGTGGACTGCTACTCCCATGATGCTCAGCTAGGTCTGGATTGTTAAGATTCTCAAAGTGCCTGAACCCTGGCTGTATATCTGATACTTTGGGTATGTCTGCCCTTAACTAAAATGGCTGCACCATGGCTACAGTTCTAACCTACAGCATCCACCCTTTCATCTCATGAACTGATTGAAATTTCCGCATTTACACTTCTTTTTCTATTTGTTGAACTTGTCAAATATATTTGGGCTTTGCCCTAAGTCTATAAGTGTGTATGCTAGTGCAGTGGATTCTTAGAAAAGACAAAAAGAGGAGGCTCCATTTGTTGAAAATTATAAACGTAGATGTCGTAATGTCTTATGCTAAGCAGAGGATCAGACCTCATACTAAAAGATTTGATGACTCTTGCCCATACTAAACTAAACTTTGGTTCTTGGTATATTTAATGAGCAGCGAATACTGCTGCCAGGCTCCCACAGTGCTCTAAGCTTATTCGTACAACACTATAAGGGTCCACCACTGTGCTTCTAACCTTAGATTTCCTTTTTTTTTTTTTTTTCTCTCTCAAAGCTACGTGCAAATCATTATCACCGCACATACATTTCTTTTTATAAAATAATATTTACAAAATCCCCGTGGGTATCATTTCATCATACTCTCACTTCCTATTACCCCTCCCAGAAATTAAATCCTGTGCACCCGTGTGTCCCTTGTCCTAGCATAATACTTCCCAATTCAGCCAATCACAATGCTTCCCACCATTTACGTAATTAGGGGCAGACAAGAGAAGCAAACTCTCCCCCTAGCCATGAGGTAAATCTAAGAGGAAACAAAAAGAGAAACTGTGTCTACTTGTGTAATAAGTTATGCTTCCTATTTCCGTCAGTAGGCATGTGGGCTAAAAAGGGGTCAGGTTCTAGAGGCCCTACCACTTCAAAGAGCCTACAGCAGCTCCATATCCTTAGGGTGTGGAGTGCACACAGATCTTGTTAAGAGTTTACAGCAAGCTTCAAGGCCGAGACAGTGAAAAGTGTGCTATAGCGTTGTGGTTACATTGAAGTTAATTTGTTCTAAAAAAAACGTGCAAGTTTGTCGATTGTTACATTATTTGACCCGATATTGGCAAAAATTAAAGATGCTTAAACTCTGACCTGTACCAAACTTTATCTCAAACCACCCATCCAACCCCCTTTAAATATAATTTAATTAAAGGTGACGCTGCTGTATATTCTCACATGCGGGTTGCCCTGCTGGACCAACCCATAAACCTTCAATGAAACCAAGAAATATTTGCAGATCTGTACTTTTTCTCGTTAGGATAAGCAATACTGAAACTAAAATTTTGTTAAAATGGCAAGAAAACCATGAGAGGACTACTAAAGGCACCCAGAGCACTTAACCTCAATTAAGTGGTCTGGGTGCAATGACACTGTAGTTTTACCTCTGCAATGTAAAACATTTTGTAGTTTTATAAATTCTTTATTTTTGTGGGTGGGTACAGAGTTACTTCAAACGCCACAACAGCGTGTATCGACGTAGAACAGCATATACAAGAGTTTGACAGTGGCATGCATAATCACACAATTTTTCTTTTATACAGTCGCTAGATTTATCAAACTAAGAAGTTGCACATTTTATATTTTTTATAGATAACAAGCCAGTAACGTATAATTGGTGAAAGATTTAGAGTATCTGCACATTTTTTAATGAAAGTACGTTTAGGCTATTCAGTCAAGTCTAGCTATTAGAGATCAGAACATAAGCTAGCATAAGAGAGGTAACTAAAAATGCATACATTTAGTTTTCAGACTTGCATAACTAGCCAGACATGGAGGTATGAGTAAGTATCAGATTAGGTAAACATGCTAATACAGGCTAATATTCCACTGGGTACCACACACTGTATAGATAATACCAAGAGAAAACTTTAAAAAGAACAGGTTTGAACCTCCTGTGCCTCCTGCTCTTTGAAAAATCAAATATCGGAATGGCTAACCAGCTGAACCTAAATTCAATTAATACAACCAGAGTGTGCATTTGAGGGCTTGTGAGTATGTCCACTGGGCGCAGACACCAATTCGGGTAGGTAGTTGAGTGTCTCTGGAAGACAAGGTGGTCAGCCGACGGGATGTTCTTCCATGCCCCATGTTAATCATGTTGTGCTATCTCTGCTCTCTCCCAGTCTTGAGCTCGGATGTGGAGTAGTGGGTGGTTGGCTGACCAGGAGCTGGATGTGTGTCTCATGCGTTCCCAGCTAGGTAGATGAGCTGCTGCTCCCAACCTTGCCAGGGATTAGGCTGGTGGCTGCCAGGTGCCGTTGGGCCTCCCTCCAGAGTTTAGCGCTACCATGTGGGGTGCCATAGCGCCTGGCTCGAGGCATGGGTAGGTAGAATCTGGTAGCTGGTTACAGGTGTTGCTTTTTGGTAGCGAGGGGTTTCTCTGGGTGTTGCGTGTCGGCTAGTCGGTGCAGCGGCCATTTTAGGTTTGTGGCATTTGGAGTTCGCCCTGCAGGTTTCGTCGAGGACCGCAACGGTATCCTCCAGTGGAGACTGGGATGACCCCCCTGGTCCAAAGGGGGGGAGAGGCCTGTGAGATGTGCCATAGAGTAGTCGTGTGGCAGCCAGGGAGGTGAGCAGGGCGGCATTTTGTAGTTTTAAACATGCAAAGCAGACAGCCATTTGAGATGCCTCCTAGAGCAGCATTTGATTGTTGCAGTGAGGAAATTTTGATGTGCCTGCGCACTAGCCTCTTTTCCCTTAGTGATCCTTGGACTGGCTGAGGTAATCAAGATGGATGATAATGACATTGTTGAGTGTCATTCAGTTCCAAATATATATAAAATCATCTCAATCTAGCTTATGTGACACACCACAAAATGCATAAATAATAAACAAGTGGTAACAATATTTAATTAAAATAGCTTAACATGGGGGCGTGGGGCTTGGATGCCATGCTGAACGGTCGCAGATAGCCTGCTTCTGCTTAAACCTGATTCCTTAGTGATTTATAGGGCAAAATTAGCCTCCTACTGGGCCCTCTCCTGTTGGTACCCTCACATGCCATAGCAGGGCTTCTTTGGAGTGATCTATATTACTGCTGACTGGCAACTGTGTCCTTCAGCTTGTTGTGGCCTGGTGGCTCCCTAGCGGGAGAAGTGATCGCTCTCTTCCGGAGTGGTCTGGGCCTCCTTTCCTGTGGTTATTAGGAGCTCCGTACCCCCCTCTCCCTCCCCAACCCTCCACAAGCTTGACACGTATATGCCAACGACTTTGGGAGAGCTGGGAGAATAGGGGTCAGACACCTGCATTACCCAAACCTACAACATGAACTCCAGTCAGAGCTCCACATCTCCTGGGTGGGAAATCAAGAGGGTCCAAAAGACTGTCCACAGTTGACGCTTGGGAGCAGAACATCACTGGCTGGAATCTTACGGCAGTCTCCCAGGGAAGGAGAGAGAGGCCGTGGATATTAAGAGATGATTCCTGCAAACACCTGGGGCTGTAGTTACACTATAGTACACTGTAGTTGCGCTATAGGAGACATGATAATACAATGCACCTGCTTGGACTCAGCCTGGCCATCACAGGCGTTGGTTGAAAGGCCTATATCCTCGGGGCCCCTTGTCTGAGAAGGAACTCTGGCTACTAGCTTGATTGTGGTGCCTTTCATCACTGTATCTATCCTGCTCCTACCTTTTGGGTTGCCGATCCTGTGCACCCCCAGCTCTAACTTACTGGGTGGTTTTACTCATGCATCCCAATTCTTGTAGAGTCAGTATGCCTAGATGAACATGTTAATCTTTATCCTGACTAACAAATGACAACTTGCAGTATTTCTACAAAAACAAAGTGCAGTATTTCTTATGACGTTTTCTATTACTTCTGTGCCGTTTATTGACATATATATTTTTTGCAAAACTGTCATTGTAAGCTTGTTTGCCAAACTGTGCACCACAAAATAAAGGATGTCAAAAAAAGAAATATATATTTTTATATATCCTAACATGTTGAAAATCAAAAAAATAAAGCTTGAAAATGCATATATTAATGTGTCCAATTCAAAAAAACTAACTGAATTGGAAAAAATTCGGAAGAACCCAAAAAACTCAATGGACATAATTTGGTCAAATGGTTTTCACATTGCAGAGGAATAAATGGATCTAAAATATTGTGCATATTTTATACATTGGTTGAACAATAACTATTTAAATTGTGTTCCTGTTTTGGTAAAATCTGCCAATCTGTTGCCTATTTCTGTTTTTTGTTTTGTAAATAAGTACAGACATAGTGTTGCACTCGCTCTATTATTATTATTATTTTATTATTTATATAGCGCAATCACATTCCGTAGCGATGTACAATGGGTGTTTTCAGTAAAATCTCCACAGAATTCTGTTTTCGTTTTTTTATTATTATGTCTACACTCTGTAAATTCATGCATTCTGTTACTAAGTAAATCTTTTTCATAGCTTAGGCCTTGCTCCTCTGTGACATCTATAATCCGTGGGGATCCGTGGTTAATTATATGGTCTTTATTTATCATTAGCACATGTCCTCTGAGTAATAAATTCCTCTGAGTAAATCCCACACCGTTACTATGATTATAAAACTGTTACAGGCTTTTTGCAGTAATTAGACCACGATACCGTCTGTCTATGTGAGGCCTTCAATGGCCACTGAGACCTCTTGTGAACCAGTAAGATTTATTGAAATGGTGACAAGTAGCAGCATAGCCAGTCACTCATCAAAGTCTGTTACAGGCAATAGAAAATGCCCACATTGCAGAGTGTGACTAACTTTCGTGTGACTAACTTTTCCCAAGCTAGATTCTGCTTGTGTGTGTTTTGTGAGTGAGTATGTGTGTGTGTATCCTGAGATTAGTTGGGGTTATACTCATAGGTGTGCACAGTACATTACTATAAGTTGTAATAAATTCCATCTTTACTTTACATTAAAAAACGATTTAAGGGGGGCGTGGTCTGCTGTTGGAGCGAGCCGGACACGTCTAAGTTAAGCTCCGCAAGGACCATAAGGTCAACAGCAAACTTAAGCGACCTGAGGGTAGCAACTTGGATAAACGGGCCCCAAAAACAGTCCGGGAAGCAGCCGGAGCAGAGCACAATGATCTCGGACCTGTTCGCGGCCTTCAGAGCCCTGCAATCAGAAATCCAAGATGGCGGCCGAGCAAGCCAGAAGCCGCAGAGATCGCCATCCAGCGCCGAGAGTACTGCTACGCCAGGCACACTAGCGACTGATAGCTTACAAATCCTACTGAAGCTCTCGTAGGTGCGCACCTACCTTGCAGGGGAGATAGTCAGGAACACTGACGAAGTAAAGGTGGAGATCCAGGCCTTGGGCATGAGGACGGCATTACTGGAGCAACAAGTGGAGTCCACGGTAGTGGCCCACAATGAAGCCACTGTCCAGATCAATCACCTCACGTCCACACGGGCGGCAGCCAAAACCGCCTTGGAGCACCTGGCGAACCGGTCCAGGCGTAATAACCTTCACCTGCGGGGCCTCCTTAATTGATGTGGTGACCACCATCTGCAAACCTCGGCTTCTGGAGGTGCCTGACCACATGTGGCATATTGAACGGGAACTTTGCACCAGACGAGCAGATAAGATGCCCAGGGATGTGATCGTTAAGTTCCAATTTTTCCAAACTAAAGAGGCACTCTTAAGGAGATCGCCCTTTTTCAAGATCTGCCACTTGCCACGTTGCAAAGACGTCGGGAGTGGAAGCCTGTCACTGAGCTCCTTGGCAGAACTCCAATAAATAAGCCTGGGGACACCTGTTCCGACTACTGGCCTTCAATGATGGACGCACGCGAGTTCTACACCCAGATGATGATCCTGCGGCCTACCTAATGGAGTTGGACATCCAAGCCCCAGCAGATTTGGCGTTCCCTGGATCCTCGGCGGAAGAATTGCGTCATCCCCCACGAGAATGGTTGGTTCACGATAGGTAAGTGAGGACCAGCTATATGGGGACCTCGGTTGTAGGCGCCTGGTGGTGACAGAGAAGCCTTTCCGGGGGCCGGTAAGACACGGGGGTCCACTAAGTTTCGAGTTGGGTGACGGGCCTAACTGGTTTGCGCCAAATGGGGTTTTGCCACTGTATTCTTCCCATGAGAAGCAATGTGGGCTGCTATGCTCGGGTGGGGCGAAGGTCGGGGGGGGGAGATATGTCTACCTAGGTTGGGCGGGCTAGGGCTATAACATTCCCTGTAATTTCTTACGTTGGAGGGAGAAGCCGGGTTCCGCCCGGGCCCTGGTTGGAGTTGGAATGCTGTGGGATGTGGGGGGGGAGGTGGCAGGAGGTGTTGGGGTAACATCTGGCTACACGCTATGATGGGGTCAGTTGCCCAATACGAAGGCTTCAACAGGGGCAAAAAATAACATTTGTCATGCAGCAAGAACGGCACCACTATCTTATAGCGGCGAGCTCCACTGACTCACCTCAGCTCTCCACAGACTCTCAACTTGTGTTATAATGTTGATGCCATGACCCCAAATGGTGGGAAAAGCATTTAAATGACAAGAGAGGGGACCGAAAACCCAATATTATAAAAATGAAAAAAATAAGAGGGCGGGGAGGGGGAAACCAAAACCAAACAACACACACATAAGTGGGGGAATATTGCAGAATAAAGGGAAGCGGTTACTGGGGTTTTACAGGTTCGGTTTAATTTGGCCGCTTATCTGCGCAACTGGTCTACAGTGTTAGGCATTGGAGGATAGAAAGTAGTTTGGTCCGGTCCGAGGGGAATTGGGTGCGCAACTCGTTTTCCTGGCACTATAGGGTTGTTAGGCCCCCCCCCTCCTGCTGGGCTGAAGGGGTTAAAACCCCTTCAGCCCATACCTTAATCCAGCGCCAAGTTCCCTTGTCACTGGTAAACTCGCCTCCCTTTTCCGACGTCAGCGCCGAATTCAGATCGCCCATAGGAAAGCATTACTGAATGCTTTCCTATGGACGTCCAGCATCATCTCCGTGTGATTTTCACACTGAGAATCGCGGAAGCAGCCACTAGTGGCTGTCAGTGAGACAGCCACTAGAGGCTGGATTAAGCCTCAATGTAAACATAGCAGTTTCTCTGAAACTCTGAAATTCGTCCCGGGCAGACAATTATTCAAGAATACCAGACGTAATGTTGATATCATATGGAGACAGGTCAACACCAACACGCCAACACTGATCCTGTCACTCAAAGCCGAGAAGGCGTTTGGCAGGGTCAAATGGTTTGTATCTGTTTGCACTACTGGCGCACATCGGCATCCTTGCTCCATATTTAGCAGCAATTCGAGCCATGTACATGAATGTTAGGCCACAGATCTGGATATCGGGAGCTCAGGTCACACCGTTTACATTGAGCAATAGCACCAGGCAGGGGTGCCCTCTGTCTCCCCTGCTGTTTTTGCTCTCTTTGGAACCACTTCTGCAAGCTTTCAGATCCAACCCGGGTATACAGGGGGTAGTAGTGGGCGGACAGCAGTTTGTGGTGTCAGGTTTTGTAAATGATGTGTTATTATCTTTAACGCACCCTAGGGAATCCGTGGTGACATTGACAGCTGTGTTGGAGACATATAAGCAGGCTACAAGGTTAACTTGAACAAGTCAAGTGCCCTCCTTCTTGGCCTTTCAGCAGCAG